CCCCCCCCCCCCCCCCGCAATTTTTAATAAAGTTTTGCTGCTGTTTTCTTTTATGTATTTCGGTTTTAGAATACATTAGCCTCTAAGAGTACGGAAAATTGGACAGGTTTTGAACTCTTTTTTTTTGTTTTTAATCGTCAATTTGTTTACAAACACCAGGATAGGATTCAAACTCTTAACCTGTGAGGGATTCAGCAGCTGCAGGGGATGTGTACTATTCAGTAAATTTTCCCATTTTCATCATCCATTAATTTTTTTTTTTTTTGAATTTGTTCCTTTCAGGCTAATCTCAGCCGTTTATTTTCAGTTAGCCATTTTGGTCAACCAATCACCATCGTTTAGTAACCAGGCAGGGTAGCCTACAAGAAAAATGATAAAAAAAAGAATCTATCTTTTGTTTTTTTGTTTTTATTTTTTTCACTATGTAAGAGCAGTGCATCCTTTGGCTTTGGACCTCATCCATTCCATGCACGGAATCGAACCGGCGCCCTCCGCCACAAGAGCCAAGTCTCCTAACCACTACAACCATGTCACATTGTCTAAAATGTAGAAACCATACCGACCGTGATATCCACTCCATCCCTGCATGGCTGTAGTGTCCTTACGTTACACCGCACACGCTACACACAGAACACCAGACCGTCAATGCCGCACACTGCGCTGGCATCGAGCACATGACCATCATCAACACAACAGGTACTTTCACTCCCACGCCACCAAATCTGGTATTATCTCCAGGCCGGTTGGCAGGTTGACCATTGAGTACGGTGGAATAGGAATCGGACTGATGCTCCCCGGAGTGGAAAGGAGCCAGAACCGTAAGGTTCTGTTTTGGTAAGAAAAAAGAGAGGAAAAAAAAAAGGAGGTTGAGTATAGAGTACGATCAGTACATCGGCTTTGGACCGTATCCAGGGACTGCAGCAGATCCTCTTTTTTCAGATCCTCTTAAAAAAATAAAAATAAAATTAGTAATTAGAAGATTCTCTTTCTAGTGCGTTGAAAATGTTTCTTAGGAAAAAAAAAGAATTTTTTTTTTTCTTCTTCTCATCAAGTGTTGTGTAATATATGTACCTTTGTTTATCCTGCTTAGGGCATGCTCAGTCAGGCATGCACTTTCCTGAAGGATGTACTCGACTGCCGTTATGGTCAAAATTCACTTGAAAAAAATGTTATCTGGATGCACTGACGGCAATTACGTCCAGAGTTCGATGCAAAAAGTTCTAGTGCGAGCACGCCCTGAGATATTCAGTTTTGGATACTTTTGTTTTTATTTTATCTGGCAAGGAATCGGCGGTCCCGGGCGTGCTGACGTGTCCGAATGTTGTCTGGTCTGCGTCTGGACGTATTGTGCGCCATCTGTGTATTCAGAAAAGCCATCAACGATCTGACGATACATCCTTCGGGTCGCCTGGCGCTGTCAGTGAGCAAAGACAGGCACCTAAGAATGTGGAATCTTCTCAAGGGAAGTTGCACCCTTAATCTGAGACTCAAATCAGGTCAGGTGGTCTATCCTTCTTCTTTCTTTTTTTTTTTTCTTTTTTTTTCGTTTAATAAAAACGCAACCACGAAAAAAAGCCAAAGTAAGGAAACAAAAGAAAGAACTGCACAGGAAAAGGCAAAAGATCGATTTCAGTGTCCTCTTCGTGTTGTCTACTATTTTTGCCGTTTGTTTCGCAAAGTGCGCACTCTTTTAGAATATATGACGATATATAGGGTTCAGCCTCCCGATGAGTCAGTGAAACCCCAACGAAACGGTTTGCCACAGCCCTTCGTTTGTTGTCCTCTTCTCCCTCTCTGCTGACGGTTTACCGGGGAGTTCTGTATTATCACTTACAGTGTAATCAGTTAGGGGATTCTGCAGACTGTTGAGGGTTCAGCCTCGTGACGAGTCGCTGAAACTCCGCCGAAACAGTTTGTAACAGCCCCTCGTTTGTTGTCCTCTTCTCCCTCTCTGCCTACGGTTTACTGGGCAGCTCTGTTTGACTATATATATATATTTTTGTTTTTTGTTTTTTTAACTTGTAGATCGAGGTCATGTGCATTGAAAAAAAACACACACAAAAGGGTTGTTGGGTGGATGGGGGAAGGTATCCTGCGCATTAATCATCTCTAGTACAAGGTAGATCATCTCTGTTGGAAGGTATAGATAAATAGATTGTTCACTGCTCCATGGAATTTCAGTGAAGCGTTTCAAGAATTTTGGTGTACCACGCAGAATAACCTTTTTGATAAGCGGACTCTTAGTTTTTTTACCGTTTTTTTAATTCCCTCTTTTTTGACTTTCTCTTTTGATAATAATTATTAATTGAAAGCGCTTCTCGATTTGTCTTATATCCTTGCACAGTGGCCATGCTGATGAATCTCTCTCTGTACCATTCCAATGCTAGTGGATGCCGCGGAGGACGTAATTTTGAGTATTTCTTTCTTCCTGAGTATTTTGTGCACCTGTCCTAAACTATCTGGACGGTTAAAAAGTTTATCATTGTCATCAACGGACTGAAAAAAAGAAAAAGTTAAAAAAGTAGATCAAACTGGAAGCAGCAGTGTGGGAATTAGCGTACAAGATTTTATACCTCAGGAATGTTGGCTGTTCTACCTTATTTAGGCAGGGCTGGACGGGTGGATGGGTTGGTGGGGGTGGGATGGCTTGGGGGTTGGGGAGGAGGAGAGTACGACACTCCTTTGGAATCGTTTTGTTGATTGCAACTTGATTCTTATTCTGCCCATTTGTTTGCGCTGTAAGGTTTTGACAGAATGATGCTCTGTGTGTGTGTGTGTGTGTGCGTGTGTGTGCGTGTGTGTGTGTGTGTGTGTGTGTGTGTGTGTGTGTGTGTGTGTGTGTGTGTGTGTGTGTGTG